AAGAGCGGTGCTAGCACCCGCTGGTTGACGTTGTTGTGATTTTACATGCAGGATATCAGGGACAACCGTTCCCCAGGAAATATACTGCAAAATGAAGGAGCACTTAACCCCCCGATTTCCAATGAGACTTTTTTTTAAGTGAATTAATTGCTTCTGGAAATCCTAACTGTCTCCACATCAAAGCAGGAAGCTGAGCATTAACTCCAGTGGGTCAATCATTCGGTCTGAGCATCCAAATTAGACAGGACGGAATGTAAAAACTGACCACAGCAAAGCCCTCTGACAGTGTCTGTGCTGTCACTGGTGTTGGATCCACAGGGAAACATCCCAGTTCTCTGGATCGCAGGAAACCAAGCTGCTCCATGACTCTTCTCTAAGAAGTTACTTATTCTTCTGTACAGATGAACATGGAAGTGGGGACAGGACCCTGGCAGCCTGCAAGAAGCTTGGCCACATCCCCATTGCAAAAGCAACTCCTTCCCAGTGAAAATGAAAATCAGATCTATCCTCAGTTTGGGACTTGCAGCTATAAGAGCACTTACATCACAGCAGCTCACCAATTGGCTAAAACGTGCTGGCTTTTTTCTTAAATATATCTAAATATACCTGCTAGCTAACGCTGGTCCCACTGCCATTACTTCAGAGCTGGGCTGAAACACGTAAAGCTTACACAGGGACAGTTCACTGCTGTCAAAGGGAGTGAGGGATCAATCACTCCTCTAAAGCGCTGGGGAAACCTATCACCTAAGCTCAGGAGTCAACAGAAACCTGATTTTGCACCCCCACACTACGCAGAAACTGCCCTTGCTGTCCTTTAGCAAGGTCTGCTATCCGTGCGTTGCCGATTCATACCCCATCAAACAAATTACTCTGCTTCAGCTTCCGGATAAAGAGGAGAGGTTTATGCCAAGAGGGTCAAAGCCACAGCAACATACTCCACTGCCTCGTTTGCCCATTTTTCCAGGCTTTTTATTGATATGACGACAGTGCAGCACAGGAGCAGGTCCCTTGACCTTTCTGGCTGTACTAACCTAGCACTTCAGCTAAAGATAAGGGAAGGTCCCGATTTACACATGTAGAGCAGAGCCTTGCTTTCACAGAAATATTTTCTTTTCCTTTCCCCCCACCCCCAGAAAAACCTCCTGCTAGAAGGGCAAGCTCCCAACACCACTTCCAGTTTGCACAACATCAGTGCAACGGCATCGCTCCGAGCGACAGCCCTTCCAAATAAAAGGGTATTCTAGTGTCAAACCCCACGCTCGTGGGCAGAGGACTCCACATGAGGGTACTGCACGTCAGATGACACACGGACTAGAACAGCATCCGACAGAATAGCCAATTCGCTGCTAATAACAGGACACTGCAGGGACAGTGACTGAGCAGTCAAATTATTTCTACAGTGGAAAAACATATGTTGAAATGGATTCAGATACAGTCAGATTTTAACACGACTTGGCAACTCATGGCAACTTTTAAAGCCAGGCTGGCTGTATGCAATTAATCCTAGGCAGCTCCTAGCATTATTAGTCATTGGGCAATGTACCAAAGAGCCATCTTCACAGTTTATACCACGGTGCTCGCAGCAGGTCCAAAGCCATCAATAAAGATAGCATCTTGTTGAGAGTTGAGTAAAAGATGGCAGAAATTACTCAGGTGAGGCCCCACATGTAATTTCAGGTTTTAACCCCACGTTTTGGTAAGGGTGTTAGGAATTACCTCCAGATCCCCCTTTGTGATGGATTCTTCCTCCACACGGAACTGCAAGTCCTCCACTTTCCTGGAAAGGGGAAAAGACACAAATAGCAATCAGTAACACCCAGATCAGCATCCCATTTCTAAGCAGCCATCGCACATGGGCCTCCCCTGCACAACCGAAGTCAGAGAGTAGAGGGATACAGACAAACTTTGTGTACAAACAGCTCAGCAGAAGACAAACAGCAAGACACGTGGAACAAGACAGTAAGCAAGCTTCCCACAGAGCAAATGTTTGCCTTCACGCAAGGTGCTGTTTCTACCGCACCACCTCTCAGCAAGCACAAGGGCTGTTCACTAACGCTGGGACCCAGAAAACATGAAAATCACAACCAGGTTTCACTGGTTTTCTTAGACTCTGTTGTCCTGCAGCTGATCGCCGGGCAACTCCTGTGCCAAATGCACAGGGTCCATACAAAATATTCCATGGGCATCAGTGGCTCTGCCTTCTTGGCAGGGAGTGGGCACTGCTTAATGTTTCCATAACGTGGAAATGGTGAGTTACCCTGGCAGAAAAACCGTCACCAGAGATTGTATAGGCCAGTCACGCATAAATGCACAGAAAAGTCACAGGCACAAATGCAGACATGCCTAGAACTCGTCTGCAAAGTCTGAAGAGAAAATCCAGTAATGATAAAAAAATAATTCAATCTTCTGCTGAACTCAGTCCCCTTTGCTCTCTTTACTGATTTTAAAGAAGAGGCAATAATGAGGATATTGAGCTGGTAGCCAGATGTAAGGGCTCTGATGCAGACAAAAATAGCTGTGAGTGTACATATCTAACTTCATAAACAAGCTTCCTTGTCTAAACCTCCTCTAATTAGAGGAAGCATTTGTTGATATTTAGGAAAGAACTCAGCTGTCTTGGGTTAAAGGGCCTCCTGGAGCTGGGAAAGTGAGCTGCCTACCAGAAGAATGGAGAGACTTATGCACAAAAGAACAATTCGTCCTCAGGAGGGGCATCATTCAATTGAAATCAACACTGTTTTCAGTTACTTAACACACAGAAATGCCTTTCTATTCCCACTGAAGAGTTTAATTATATATATGGAGCAATCGGACTCCAAGAACGACAAGCAGATCTTCACTTTTATCCAGAGAGGAAATGTATGCATCATCATATATACATGGATGGGGCCTCTGGGATGGGGGAGATGATGAATCACACTACAGTAAGGCTGTACTCCAATTTGACTTCCCCTCCTCAG